GGTAATCAACGGTGGCAATGACCACATTGACCGTGGTCGTATTGCCGGCCTGAGTGCGCAAGTAGTTCTGAAACTCTAAATTGTGGCCCTCGCACAGCAACTGGATGAACCTAAACACGGCGCAAGTAATCTCGGCGTCGTGCATATTCTTCTCGCCAGTGGTGCCCTCAGCGCCGGCGCCCAGACCCTCGGCTTTTTGGTTACGCTCGAAAGCATCCAGGTCGAGCACCGAGAACGAATTCATCAAGCCCGCTATCGAGATGAAAAAACCGACATCCTTTTTGTCTTTCAAGTGTTTGAGCATGCGCATCTGCACGTCCACATTACCACCCTTCAATATACTGATGCCGAGCTTGAGCGTTTTGAGCACCATCTGGGTCTGTTCGCCGCGACACGCGCTTATGTACAACAGTATCATCTCGGCTACGCCCCGGTCCGCCAGCCGTTGCTGTTGGAACAGTAGCTTCTGTTTCTCCATCTCCTGCTCGTGTATGGACGGGCCCTCCTCTCCACCGCCGCCTCCGGCACCCTCTTCGCCGCCCCCTTCGCCGCCGGCATCGCCTTCGCCGCCGCCCTCTTCCTCCTCGTCCTCTTCGGCGCCGCCATTGCTTTGGGTGAAAATGAACGCGTAGTCCATGAAGAGCGAGTCCTCCTTCATAGCGCCCCCGTGTTCAGTGGTGGCCGCCCTCGAGAACGCCGTCACCAATTGGTTGATAGGGTCGGGCCGGCCGTCCGCCTCCTCATCGCCCGTCCGTTTCTTCTCCGCCTCTTCGAACGACTCGGTGTTGTCTTCGATGAGCTGCTCGTGACCCACGTTCTCCACCGATAGCCACATATCCGAGTAGGTCTTCAGGAATATGTTCATCGCCCGGTGCCTGAGGTAGTGGTGGTCGATGGGGTATCAGTCCGTGTTTAGGGTAAGAATGGTTTGTTTGTGGTTAGTATTGTGTGGTATTTGTTTGATTTTAATTGAGTTATTGGTTGTATCAGAATTGTTTCAATCGTTATTAACTAGTTAATTCATTTTATTTTGTATATACGGTAGACTATATTGTACACTATCTGGTAGTTTCACTGTTGAAACCCTGTATATCCGTTATAATAAACTCAGATATAATTGTAAGCCCGAGTCTACTGTATATACCTATCGGAATAACACATCGATTAAAACACTAGTAAAATACAGACCAAAAGTTAATAATAATTTGTTAATCACATTAATAGACACACCAATTGAATACAATTCTGTGTTAATAGTATGAAAAACATAATGAAAACAATGATGGTATAATAATATGACCAGAGACCTGGTTAGTGAATACAGTGGTGAACTGAGAAGGCATTTTATGGCCGCCTTTTTCTTACTATAAGATACAAATATTCGCTTCCAAGACGTTTTTGAATGATCTCGTTTGAAAACCTGTATTAGATTTTCAACCATGTGTTGACATTTTACCCATGGTGTTAATTAAACACAACTAATTAATTATTTCATTTTAATTGAAATTAAAAACTAATATTCAAATGCTTTGTTTGTAAGAGATGTGCACAAATCAAATGCAATTCATTCAAATGCAATTTGGTTGCCAGTAGTGTCTCAAACATGCATAACCACAACAAAAATACTGTAATACGGGTGCAATAATTGCATACCTGGGCAACGAATGAAGTGATATCATGCGAAAGCATGCGATGACCGCCCGCTTCCTCTGGCTCGAGACACATGACCTCCAAACGCCTTTTTGCTGACCCGACGGGTGATCGATCTGATGGTACGGTACGGGACGAGACAAACATCAAGTATCAAGATAATGTATGTGCAAATGGTATGGTGTGCATGTGTTCTAACATATACCGGTATGCGTTTATAGAGTACTGGTATATTTCATTCATTAATATGTAGATAATATTTACAATCACGATTAACTATACGGTAAATTGACCACAAATAGACAACAGAATATTACATTATAGACATTTATAGTGTACAGAATCTATGTAATCAAAAATGCATTTTCTCATATGTAAAACATATACTGACATTATCTCAACATAAAATAATAACAGAGACTAACGGATAAATTGGTATTTAATACACAATCACTTATAGTGAACAGAAAATAAGCTTAAAATCTAATTTGTTTGTACACTAAACACAATACACTACAGGCGTACAGACATTAACATCAGGGGGCGGGGGAGGGGGTGTTCCCACAATATATACCGTGTGGAGTCCGAACAGCACTTTCGACATATCAATAATCCTCTCCACGAGCTGATCGGCCGCCAGATGGGGATCCTTAGAGTGTTTAGCTCCGGGCGTGTCCACGAGCGCCAGTTCGCGGCCGGTGACCGCCTTCTTGGAGCCGAGTTTGCTGTACAGATAGTGCTGCCACGACATGTCGTCGCTGGGATCAATCTTGTCGGGCAGTGTCAGCTGTGTCTTCACG